TTGTCTTTGTGTTTGTTCACTAACGTTCTCTAAAAAACCTCAAATCAAGCAGATTTATAATGAGATTAAATAACATAAAAGTAAATTCATATAATGTGGTATCAGAGCATAGAGGATTAAATAACACATCACATTTTTTTTATTTTTAGTTGAGAAACAAATTAAAACCAATTATCCTTTTTCTCCAACTCTACAACAATGCACAACTTTGTAGCGACCTACCAATTAAATCCCATTATAGCATCTGAAAATTGTCATTTTCAAGTGACAAAATGTGAAAAAGTTCTGAGGTACGAACATCTTTGTAAGGCACTGTATAGATGATAAAATCTTAAACAACAAAAACATTTGGATCTACTAACTGGGATCAATGATGTCCAGCAGCTTCTAAATGACCTCCATCTTCCCCCCTTTCACGGCCCACTCCAAGTTTATGTGATGACAACATGGCCGCTGCCAGCTGTAACTGCAACAAAGTGTCTTAGTGTCCTTCTGCTGTCATGGAATGGCTTTCATTTTTTTGTCTGACCAACTATCTGTGTGGTGTTTTCTGTGTGAGTATATTTAGTATGCAGTATTACGCTGCTGGCCTCCCACTCCACCCTGTGTGAGCTGCAGTGAGACAAGCTGCCCTGTCAAAACAGAGAGACTGCTTCGGACATCTGTTGTTCTGTGGAGGGACTGTGGATGTGGAAGCGCGCAGAGGATCATCGAGACGCCTGCGGACCTCTGATTAAAGTAAGTTCGACCAACATAAGTCACTTATACGGAATCTGCAAATACTTTTTCCCAATGGTTTTGTCATCTTTTTCTCAAGATAACGAGTTCATCTAGAGAAAACAAAGGTTGTTTTCTTGAAATCACGAGATGCAATGGCATGCATTTGAAGAATGGAGTCGGGTTTAACACACACACACACACGCACACACGCACACACACCAATCATCACACATCTATCATCTCACGAGCTCGAGAAAACCACTGGGAAATTAACTTGTTATCTCAAGACACCCAACTGGGGAAAATATATGCAGAAAACCAATGTTTCTCAGTTCCGTTCCTCAGGGACCACTGCCCTGCATGTTTTTGGTATTTCCCTTCTAACAGGCTTCTGTAGCACTTGATGGCATGCAAAGGAGGTCATGCAATCATTACAATAGAGTGTTCTGGACACCTGATTTCTCTAAAACATGCAATGCAGAGCTCACTGAGGACTGGAGCTGAGAAAAACTGCCATAGACTATGGTTTCTAAAAGACTATTTCTTCTCCATAGTTGGATGGGTGCTGAAGATCTGACTGACTGACCAAGAATTTAGTGGATAAAGGCTCCTAACTCTCAATAGTTACTAGTGAGAGCTACAGGGTTGGAGTGAGGAGGTTCTTCACTTATAGACGGAGACGGTTTCCGGAGCGACCATGGCATCAACCGGTCTCCAGGTGCTTGGTTTGGTGCTGGCCCTACTGGGTTGGGCGTGCGGGGCTTTGGTGTGTGCAGCTCCGCTGTGGCGCATATCGGCCTTCGTCGGGGGAGAGCTAGTGATTGCCCAGGTGTTGTGGGAGGGCCTGTGGATGAACTGCCTGTCTCAGACCACCGGCCACATCCAGTGCAAGGCCTACGACTCCACCTTGGCCCTCCCTACGTCTGCCCAGGCAGCTCGAGGGCTGACGGTTCTTTCCCTGCTTCTCAGCGTTCTGGCGGTCATGCTCGGTGTTGCCGGGGCCAAGTGTACCCACTGCATGGGCGACGGCAACCAGGCCTCCAAAGCCCGCCTGGCCAGGATAGCAGGGGTGCTCCTCATCGTGGCCGGCCTCGCCTACTTGACGCCCATCTGTTGGACTGCCTATGCCACGATTAGAGACTTTTATGATCCAACTGTTGCGGCGCCTTTGAAGAGAGAACTGGGGCCCGCGTTGTACCTGGGCTGGGGGGCCAGCGTGCTCCTCCTGCTGGGGGGAGCTCTGCTTCACGTCGGCTCCGCCGCCCCTGGAGGAAGAGCGCTGCCCGTATCTGGAGCCGCAGCAAAGCCCAGCCCATCCACGGGGGCAGCAGGAGAAGTGAAGCAGCAGGAAAAGTCATTTGTATGAGATCACTTTGTTGGACATTTAAACACCTTACAATTACATGCTTGCAAAAATGACATCTATATAAGTATTATTTGCTTCTATGTGATGATTATTTGGATTTCTTCCGAAGAGGGGCTGATTTCATGCCCTGTTCTACCTGCAGTCACAGATGGGTCTTCTTAGCAGTACTAAAGCTTTAGAGTTATGTCTTACTTACATGGTTGCCTAGGATGAAGATGTGTGCTAATTAGATTGAAATCTACAATTCAGTTCAAAATTATTCATACTCCTGGCATATTTAGGATTTTGAAGTAATATTAATGTTTTGTTGTGACCCAACCAGAGTCCTATGAGGCCTTCCAACATCAAAAACTTGGAAACATGCACTATTTTTTCAACACACCATTTTTTTAATTTAAATATAAATAAAAACTTTTGTTTTCCAATTTATATTTCATTTACATTTTTTATATTCAGAGATGCCTCATATAAATAAACTAACTACTTACTTGAATGGAAATTATTTTAAATTTAAATTTGGATAAAGTATAAGCATTTTTTGGCATGTCTTCATATTTCATTGTAGAAATATTAATGCACATAAAGAAGGTTTTCTAACTTTAAGGGCTTTGTGTTAGAGTAGGAGTTGAAATGAACCGTGGGAGGATTTAAAATGTTTTAATGGTCACTAATGCGCGTGGCTCACATTTCTCAGATTCCCCTCTGCCTCTGCTTGTGTGTGTGTGTGTGTGTGTGTGTGGGTGGTATGTGTACTAAAGGCCAGTGTGCATTGTACATTAGTTTACACTGGTGTTTTTGCTGAAAGTATCTGAGTATTTATTCTGTTTACTTTTTTCTTTGTCACCTTATCTCTGCAATGTGTCTTTATTCTTAATAAAAAAATATTCTTTCTTCAATGGTCGCTGCTCCTTTATGTTTATGAAAAGTAAAAAGTATGTTTAAGTTGAAATAATCTCTTTTTTCAGTTTGAGCAGGTTTATTCTCATAATAAAGCAAATTAAAAATGTTTTTTGTATTATTTGACTTTCATATATCAAAGTAATTAGGGTACCAGATAAATTTTGTTTTTCTTGATTTCACAACTAAGAATTTGGAGAGCGACTACCTGATTTTGAGACGCACAGAAGAAGACATGGTGCTTTAAATACCTTAATATTTTATATACCTTAAGTTTAAAACACAGTGCACAGTAAGGTAAGGTCATTTTATCTATGTCACACATTTTCAGCAACAGGGCCGTTCAAAGTGCTTGTATTGTGCAGTAATAGTGCGCTGTAATGTATTTAAAATCTTGAAGTGTTTTTTTTTTTTTCTTTTTGGTAAAATATTTGACATATTGAGTGTTTGCAGTCTAACGTAAATTTTCAGAATAATCCATATTTTTCTTTGTCACTTTTAAAACAACAGAGGGTATAGAAGTAACTCCACCCTGGAAAGCAGATTATTCATATATTTTGTTAAAAACCTCAAATTTTGATTATGTTTATGTCCATGATAAATAAAATGTCTGGAACCTCAGGTGCAAACACGAATGTTTGCTGCTTCTTTTCATGATCATGTATGCAATTCAAAAGCTGAACAGTATCACTTTTAGCTCAAAATGTCCAAATACATATAATCATTATGACCCAAAGTAAAAACAGAAGTAAAGTGCTACAGGTGTCATGCACCAATAACACTTACACAATGCAATTTACATAATTTGTGTTACATCTTTGTCGGTTGCTTCGAAATAATTCCCCTTACATGTGCAAAATGACTTAAGTATCTATGTGAAATACATTTAATTATTATTCTCAAAGATCACAATTTCAGACCGGAACTTTCGATTTTGAATAGTGACCAGTTGTGATAACAAACAGACTCCACTAGGGGGCAGCAGACACTAACGATCCGTCAATGAGTCAAACTTGGACATTTTTATTGAGGCCCTTATTCTTTATGAAATAGTTACAAATTATGTTTTATCTAAACTTTACACAAGACTGGATAAATGTATTGTGAAATTTATTTTCTTTATTATTATTGTTGTTCATGCATTTGCTCTAATATGTGGTCATTTTGGTGTTTGTGAGTCATTTGATTCTTTCTGGAATGACAATCAGTTTTCTTCTTCTGTTGTGTATTTAGTGCTAGACCATTTTTCAAGCCTACTTCTGTTGCTCAACTCAGATCACAGCAGAGAATAACGAAGGCTCACCTGCATGTGATCTACTTGCAGATGAGCAAGAGCCACATGTCTCAGCATATGCCAGCATTTACGTGCAAAGTGTAGAATACAAAATCATGGCACAAAGAAAGTACATAGTCAATTTAATGACTAATTGATCTGTTTTATTTTTTATTTGCAGGGCTGAAAATTATTTATACATAATCTCAACTAAACTAATGCATATACTTCACTATGTAGTTATTTTTTTTTTTTTTAAAAAGAAGCCCAAATGAAAATGCTCATTAAAAACACATCCTACATATATAATATCCTTACAATTTTAAAAATCAATGTTCTTTTCACCCTTTATGCAGGATGACAACAGTGAAAGGATGTAATTTTTAGACATTTCTACAAAAACCATATGAACCAAGTTTGTTCCCTGTTTGTTGCTCCGCCTTACAATAGCATAGTGATACATAAACAATATACAAACACATTTGATTTGTTTTTCAGAAAACTAATAGTCTCTCCTTTTCTGAAATGAACAACTTTATCACCCTTATCTCTCCTGTTGTGACTCAACATGATAATGACCCCACACATCACCCTAAGCCTACTGTTTAAAGGATAAACATAGAAAAGTATTCACACTGCTTCTGGGTCTCACTCAGATTTTCAGGAAACATAAAGTACTTTTGTTCGTAGATTAAGACTAACATGTTCAATGCAGTTGAATTCCAACTCAAAAAACGTTTTTTATGTCTGCAAACGTTTCATAATAGAAGCTGATCGACCACTTATCGATCAGCTTTGATAAGTGGTCGAAGTGCAGTCATCAAAGTGATTGCACTTTGATGACTCTTCATCAAGACAGCCTCTCGAAATTAACCACTATTTATGTGCCAGTGTTTTATAATTTGTTGAACATTTTTAAAAGTTTACTAAAGTCACTTATTTATTATTTTTAGTTGCGCTTACTGGAAATTATAACTACTTCCATAAGCCGTTTTCATAAGGCATTCCACCATCTATGACTTCTAAGCACTACTGCATACATTTTTTTTTACGCAACATATTAAGTCACTTAGGAAAATAAAGACAACAACTTAGCAAACTGGACTGACAACTGATACACAGTAATTATTCTGTTGATCACAAAGGCAAAAGACAGAAAAGGTGGGTCAAAAGGAAGCAATTAAACACTTATTTCCAAGAAAAACATCAAGGACATCCTGGAAGAATAACAAACACATGCTGTTCTTATTATTTTTTTCTTTAATTATGTAAAGCACCTTGAAATGCCCTGCTGCTGAAATGTGCTAAACAAATACAATTTGATTGATTGATTGATTGATTGATTGATTGATTGATTGATTGAAGAGTTAGTCTCAAAACGTTTGACTAGACCTTTACATAAAACAAAGTAACCCCTCAACCAACTGCTTTCTTTCTGTTTTTTATTGTAATTTTAATCTTCTTCAGTCTGTTTACTGTAATATTTAATCAAGTTAAATTTAACAAAATTAAACCATCAAAAGCATTAGTATTTATTTTCAACATTTAAAAGACGGGCAGCGTTAAACTTGCCACACAGTAAAACCACATGCTCCCACAGAGAAAGCTGAGCACCAAACACACCAGCCCCTTTTTTCAGGGTTACTTTCTGTTCTCCTGGGAACGGTTGTCCTCTTAAAGGGACAGCGTTCCCATTTATCACCCGCATCGCATGGGAGAGGATGAGTGTCACTTTAAAAGCACATGACAGCTAAAAGTGGGGAAACAGGAGGCGAGCCTATTGTGTGCAGAACATTTCTGCATTGTCATACTACGTTGCTGCCCTTCGCCGTTCAGCCTCCCCACCGAGCGGGTAGGCAGCTCCTCCGTCCGCACTGACAATTGGCTGGGCTCCTCTCTCTCTCTCTCTCTCTCTCTCCCTCGGTGTCACAGCTGCTTCCTGCTGCGCCGCAACATCGTAGCTTCAACCGAGCTCTCGCGTGCACGCTGGTCTCGCGACGTGAAAGTCCCCTCTCTCCTTTATCGGAATGTCTGAAGATTAACGAGGTTGTCCTGTGGGTTGCACTCGCTTGTTGTCGCGGCTGGAAGCTCCAGGTCTGAGCAGAGCCACCACGCACTGCAGGCGGACGGAGGGCCGTGGCGAGCCGGGTGGAGGGAACCCAGCGCTGTGGAAGGAGGACGGGAGAGGAGCCGGCGTTATCATGACTGAGAAACGGATGTCGCGGTGGTATTTCGGGGGGCTGGCCTCCTGCGGAGCCGCATGCTGCACCCATCCTCTGGATCTCGTCAAGGTGAGGGGCGCAGTGGCTCTGCCCACAGAGCTGGGGGGTGAAGGAGAGTGCAGGCCTTAACACCGGGGCACAGCTGGTTCCAGCTGTTCTTGCACAAGTCAGCGTGTTTCACCAAACCTCGCGTCTTGAAGGTTTCACACAGTGCCCTGCTAGACTGCAGAGATCACTGTAAACTAACGGAGATCTTAAGTTGGCACAGTTTGTCTGTAACAAGTAGGATGTTCAAAGTTGAATCTAGGTCATAGGTCAACCCAAAGTTTCCCCAGACGCTGTAGTCCTGTTAATCTATACCAAATGCCTAAATCTTCTTCTTCTCCAGTGACGTTTGCACATGACTCAAATAAAGTTTGTGGCGCTCAGGAAATCATGTGTTGTGTAATTATACAGGGAGGAAAGGTAATCACCAGACTGGAGTTGAACAGCTTCTCTGAAATGCCTTCTGTTTGCCCTCACTTTTTACTTGCATGTGGCGAAGCTGGAAAGCGGGTTTTTACACACAAAGCACAAGCTTCAGAAATGTAAATGTTCATTATTTTAAGAAGAAAACAGAGCGTGAACCGCTTACTGACATTAAGGTTAAAAAAAAGTGACTGGCTTCAAACAACTGCAGCTGAAAGTGACAAAGTGACCTGTCTTCTCTAGTTGTATGGGCTGATTTAAGTTTCCTACTGTTGGATAGTTTTGAGTAAAAATATCATAGCATCATAGTATTTATATAAAAATGTATGGCATTATATCCCTGCTTTGATTTAAAACGGAAAATTAGCAAATATTTAGTCATATCAAGTACCTAAACCTATGTAGTCTATACCATGTGTTTATTAAAATGTTTATACAAAGACTGAAGAAAAATATTTCAGTAAACAGCCTCTAAATTTAGGATTTTGTGGTTAAGCAAACTGTCCGGTTGCACGCAGTAATATACATTTTTGTTGGCTGGGTTTTGACTAAAACAGGTATAACGGGTCTGTCTAGTAAAATTATCTCTGAACTGGATCCTCTGATGAAAAGGACGATAAAACTGTTAGGAACTGTGCAGCAGAAAATGTTAGGTTTATTTTCTCTTTATAGGCACAAGAGGCCTTTATTTAGCAGTAACTGGACAGGCAATGGGGAGGAGAGAGCTCTATCACACACTGCACTCGGCACGTGAATGCATGTGTGTGACTGAATGGAGTGTGAAATGTGGACTTGATAAAGTTCTGTTCAAGTACAGGTCATTTACAGGCCATTTACCTACTGAGCCTCCCATCACTCAACATTTTAGTTGTTTTAAATCCCAAACTTATCAGAACCTTGGTAAAACTCCCATCTGGTAGCTAGATGATGCCTAGTTTGGAGCATTACACATTACTGCCCCTCCCCTACCTGCTGCTGTGTGCACTGCAGGTCAGCTGGCTGAAATGATGAAAATTATAAATAGCTGTTTTTGACACCGGATTACCAGTAAATTGCCTATTTATGAAAAGTCGGTACTGAACAGCTCTTGTGTCATTATCTCTTCCTGCAAAGTGTTGTTCATGTTTAACTCTGAGATTAGTGTGAGACAGCTTTAATTCATCTTCATCAAATGCTGTTTTCTCAAGAGTTTAGATGAAAATCTGTGTCATAATCAAAATGGTCACAATCCCGTTTTAGAGCCAGTACAGTGTTAAGACTTTCGAAAGGCATTTTTATTTCGTCTCTGGCTTTCAGCCGGCTTCAATGGCTTGATTTCCAAGAGTGAATAACATTTTGTTGCGACAATTATTCCGACACCTAGTTAGTTTAAAGACATTATGCAGTGAAAACAGAATGAGGTCCCATAATAGAGGAAAAGTGCATTTTGCACTTCGCTGTAGTGAGCTCTGTTTCCACATCGCCGAGAAGTCCAGTAGTGGCAGTGCAAAGACCACAGACTCCTGTTTGTTTTCATGCCAGCGTAGAACCGGATTTGGCAAACACAGGTTTGACCTCATCTGTTCTAGTTTTTAAAGTTACAAAGTGGTTTGCCAGCAGCACAAACACTGACAGAAAAATATAAGTAAGGATGGGACCGGTTCTGATGCTGCCTTGCTTTAAATTGTAGCTCTCTCTCTTTTTTTAATGAAATGGTTATAAAATAATCAAGTTGATCGATTTATTTAAAACACTATCTAATTAATTTCCCTCCAAAAATAAATTTCCCTCTACTTACAGCTTGATTTGAGCCCTGATCGAATCTTGCCGAATTAATCTTTATACCTGTGACCATAACAGATTTTTCTCTGGTGTGGAAATGGAGAAAGAACTTGACTTTTTGTCAGAGTTACTTTTTCAGTGGTTTCTTTAAATCTGATTCTCCTCATACTTGAATTGAAATTAAGTGACGTCGGTGATCAAGATATTGCTTCGTCATTTGCACTTGAGGGCTGAAGACTAACAACGACTTACTGTCTCCTCTACTGCAACTCCACAGGGCGATGGATTGCTAATGTGGGTAATAAATTATGTCAGAAGTCATATTTGATTTCCGCATTTTATCACTGAACTTTGTTCCAAAATCTGAAAACATTAGATTTGCAAAATCTCTGTTTCCAATGTGGTTCTGTGGCCAATGTGTTTCCTCATTATTTTGTATCTTGAGACACTGTTGCAACATTTTGTTCAGCAGATGTTGTAACTAAATCAGCATCCATTTCAGATTGTGAAGGTAGAGTTGGTGAGGAACTTTGAACTATACAAGTTGGGAACTCGACTTCGGACTTGAAATTTTTGACTTGAAAATGTTCAGATACAAAAGAAGCTGCAGTGATTTAAACGTTGAACCGAAACACACAAACCAGTTTATTCAGATCAGCAATGTGGGGGGAACAAAAGCCCACATTGTTTCAAAAAGGTCATTGACCTTCAATCCCAGGTCCTCATCAAAACAAAGAACAAAGGTCATGTTTTGAAACCACTGAGGCCCTCTTCCAACAAGCACAGAGTGTTACAACACCTGGATTACTGGTGCATGGCAGGATTTCCTTTTCTTTAAGGCCTAATGAAGAACAGCGTGGAAAATAACATTTATCATTAAAAGAAAACAGCTGAATTCAGAAAACCTTGTTTGATTTTTGAATCAAATTAAGCTTTCACATCAATCCGTGCATTTTTCCTTTGTGTTCTGCATCTAAGCTCCAAATCAGTGTGTGAGGTTTTAATTTTTTTTTCCAACATATGGCTCTCTTTTTCTTCCTCAGGTCCACCTGCAGACACAGCAGGAAGTGAAGAGGAGGATGGTTGGGATGGCTGTGCACGTGGTGAGGAATGACGGAGTGCTGGCTCTCTACAGTGGCCTCTCCGCCTCCCTGTGTCGACAGGTAGATTTTTTTATTTTTTTTTTAAGCTAAATTTTGTCAGAATCTGAAAAATTATGTGGATGATCATCATCTTCAGCGTTGAAGAGTTTGTTCCTTAATTCACATCTACATATGTATTTGTTGAATCAGTCTGAGTGTGGAAAAAAAAAAAAACACCTTTGCAAAATAATAGAAAAATAGCGATAGAGAGATTTTCTTTTTCCCCAAACAAATTGTGCAAGTTGAATAAAGCTGCTGAATGCAGATAATATGCAAAAGGATGATTAATTAATTAATACCAGCGATATCATATTAAGCTTCCTAACAAGAATACTAATGTTGTTGCATATTTTACATCCCTTGGTTGTTAGTTTATGTCAGGAATAAACCTGATCCTCTTTAATTTTTTTCAGAAGTTGCGCTCACTGTTGCTTTCCACTGATTTAAAGTAAATCTTTATTGTCACAATAGATAGAGCAAAAGGTCAGGGAGGAGACATTAGACCAGAGGCCAGCAGCAGCAGGATGATGATGATGATGATGATGATGCAGGGTCTTCTCAGGTAAGGAGGGATTATAACTTGATGAGAAATAAGGAAGGGAAAGTCCTCTACAGCAATTTCAACTTTTTTTTTCTCCGTAAGAGAAAAGGCAAAGATAAAGCTTAAAAAATGTACAACTTTGACTGTAACTTTATGGAAAAGCTGCCGCAAAGTCAGTAATTTTAGGCAGCAGCAGTCAGTGTTATGAAGGGATAATTTCTTTGTACGGCTCTGAACGCACGCAAGCACAAATCTTCAACAGTCACCAATAAAGTCAGCAATAAATAAATAAATAATATAACTGCTTTTCACAGCAAGTTTTTTCTGGGACTTTGTTTTAGCGAGCTCAACCACACTGAAACTGAAACCAGTGTCTGAGAAACTGCTGATATACTTGGGTTTTTATTTACAACCATCACTCAAGTGCACTGGGAATAAGTCGAACAAGGGGGGTCATTCCCTCTTGTTCGGAGCAGCAATAGTTTGGATAAAAATTCCTCGTTGATGTCAGAGAACAAAGGGCAGAGTGACTTGGGAGGGGGGGGGGGGGAATGTCTTGAAATAGATGGGCTACAGCAGCACAAAACCACACTGGGTGCCACTCCCGTCAGCTAAGAGTAGGGAAATTACCCTGCAGTTCACACAGACTCACCTAAATTGGGCAATCAATGACAGATTGGGAAAAGTTTGCCTGGTTCAGTGAGCCTTGATTTGAGCTGGGATATTCAGATAGTGGAGTCAGAAAAAACCTGAAAACGTAGATCTATCCTGTCTTTTTTTTAGGATGCCTCTGGTTATATTGTGCTGTTTCTACGCTCCTCTTCAGAGATTCTACTTTTATAGTCCGCTTATTTTGTACAAGTCAGATAAAATTCTGTGGCCCTTTTCTGTCAGAAGTTAATTCTAACCTTTCTACTACCACAAATGTTGGACCAATTCAGCAGAATTTATTCTGTTTTAAAATGCTTTTCTTATTTGTCAGAGACCACACAGACCAACCGAGGTGCTATGGCTTATCCAGTGGGGGTTACAGCACCCCCTAGCGGCCTCCTGAGGCCACCATTGAATCTAACACAACTGGTGAAGTTGTGTTAGATTACACAACTTTATTAGGTTTGCCTGTATTGCTGCTCCATTATAATCTCATTTAGTAGATATGACTGATAAAAGCTGGAGCTTGTTAGGGTGCGGGTTTATCGTTGTTCTATTTGAGACGTAAAACGTAGGATTTGTAATTTCTTTTATCTTTAAAATGAAAAAAATCTGAATTTAATGTACAAAAATGTGATTATTATGGTCATATGTTAACCCAAGAACATGAATACAACGGTGTAAGCAACCGTGATGCTTCACTAACATGCAAACCTGCTTTGTATTGCTAAGATAATCTGTCTTCCTTCCACAGATCTCTTGAGGTTGCAGCTTTCTTGGGCCCAGACTTCTTCCTTTGGATAAAGAAAGTGACTGAGCTGTTTATGAACTAAACATGTTTCTGCTTTTCAGATTACCTACTCCCTCACCAGATTTGCCATCTATGAGACAGTCAGAGACATGATGGGCAGCACTGGCAAGGGACCAATGCCTTTTTACCAGAAGGTCCTGCTGGGAGCATTTGGAGGTACACACACACACACACACACACACGCATACACACACCTACACACACGCATTCGTTCCTTCATCTTTCACTCTGACCCAAATGTGCAGTTGCCACCTGTGAAGGACTGTTTAGCAACACGTTTCATCTGCCAACAGGATTCACTGGTGGGTTTGTTGGGACTCCATCAGACTTGGTGAATGTCAGGTAAAGCTACTTGACAACATTCCCTTTAAACAAGAACATTTGTGTGGATTTTGCTAATTCATTATGGTATTAGCTGGAAAGATAAATGAGATCTGAAATCATTTTTTCTTCTTCCTCTTCTAGAATGCAAAACGACATGAAGCTGCCACCAGAGCAGAGAAGAAAGTGAGTGTTGGGGTTGAACGATGCTCTGTATAGATTGGTGTTCACGTAATTTATCACTGTACTTGTGCTTTGCTTGTAGCTATAAACATGCTGTCGATGGACTCTACAGAGTCTTTAGAGAAGGTAAACGACGAGCACGAAATCAAGTTTTCACTTTGTGTTTGTGTCATCTGGCATCGCAATCAAGGTCTGGTCTTTATTTGTTCATGCAGAGGGTGTGAGAAGGCTGTTCTCAGGAGCCTCCATGGCGTCTGGCAGGGGGGCGCTGGTCACTGTGGGGCAGGCAAGTCGCATTAAAAATCACGTTAACGTTTTCACAAAATGTTCTTCTAAGTGATTAACGACACTTTCCTGCAGCTAAGCATTGATGCAGCAGAGACGGAACGATTTAGACTTTCTTTAAATCTCAAAAGCTTCTTGTTTTTTGTTTATATTAGGGTTTTTTTGCAATAAAAAAAAAATCCTGATCTAAAAATCCTCCTAGAGGGCACAAAAAAAATCAATATTATGAGACAATGGCTGCACTGGAGATTTCATCCTTTCATATAATAAGCTGGCAATACATGGACATTTATATTTAAATGAGTCTCAATGTTTAAGATGAACATTTTCCAAATTATTATTTCTGTTTGCAGTTGGCTTGTTATGACCAGGCCAAGCAGCTGGTGTTGGGAACAGGCGTGATGGGAGATAATATACTCACACACTTCCTTTCCAGCTTCATAGCGGTAGGAATTGAGTTCTTCCACTGATTTAATGCAGTTTCCAGAGCTTCTTCTTCTTTTTTTATATTTTACATTTTTTGCAAACATCTCCTCTGCAGGGAGGCTGCGCTACGTTCTTGTGTCAGCCTCTGGATGTGCTCAAAACCAGGTTGATGAACTCAAAAGGAGAGTACACAGTAAGTAACTCGCTCGTCTTGTAGGTCGCCTACTTGTTCAGTTTTCAGTTTAAACTCACTTTAATAATATGTATTTCTCCCCCCCATGTCTGCAGGGAGTAATGCACTGCTTACGGGAAACGGCCAAACTGGGTCCGCTGGCATTTTACAAGGTAAAAAATAAATAAGGAAAAATAGTCCTACACAATTTGTCCTCATTCACGGATATATAGAAAATCACTCAGACCAGATGATGATGGCAATATTTGATGCAAATACATTGTGAACCTCACTTTAGATGTGTGTTGAATACCGATAAAAGTCAGAGTTGTGAAATGACGGCTGTTTCATTTTTTTCAGCAGTTTTGCTATGCAGGAAGGCTTGAAATTAGTCTTTTATTCTACTCATTGTGTCTTCTTAAATCAGTCCTTTATCAGTGTATTAAAAAGTTGAACTGTGCAATGAGATTTTATTTTTCCACACTGATGCAAAAAAAAATCGATTTTTTTTGTGTAGATCTCAACTGTTTTCAGAATCTCCTTGAATTTCAGATGCATCTCAATCAAAGTATCGTTAAATTAAAAGTGACTTATTTCAGTAATCCAGTTCAAAAAGTGACATTAATTTTCTCAGAATACAAAACATTACGTCAGACCGATAAGAGTTTTGTTATGTAGAAACGTTGGCCATTTGTAACGTACTTTCTTCAGCTCTGCAGCAGTGTTTCCTAAATCTTGTCCTCAAGGCTCCTGCATGTTTCACATGTTTCTGCTTTAACACACCCGAATTGGATGACTGCTGCTCAGGACTGGCCTGTTAGTCAGACATCAGTTGAAATCAGGTGAGCTGCAGCAGGGAAACATCTCAACCATGCAGGGTGGTGTGCCTTGAGGACAACATTGCTCCACAGTATATCCACTCAGTAGTTGATCGGGATTTGGTTTGCCTGAATCACTGCCGAAATGGGACGTGACATGGAGGCGTTCAGCCTGTGAAAACAGCTTCTCTGTGTGGTTTAGGTTGAGATAATTAGGTGGCCATTGATACCAGGGTCATTACAGCAGGTATAGATAGTTTAGGCTGTGTGAGCAGAAGCCAAATCCTGCTGGGGAATTAAATCAGTATCTCCATAAAGCTTGTAGTCAGGGGATAAAAGGAGCACGACAGTTGTGGCCCACATCCTGAATTCTTGAAACACTGACTGTCCAGACATTACGGATCTTCTTCAAACTCTTTAAATGAATCTGTTCCAAGGCAGTGGTTATATTTATGGAGCCTTTTCTTTGAGACTTTATCCTTCCACTCAACTTTGTGTTAATAGGCTCAACTACAGCCCTCTGAGAACATCCAGCTTCTTATGCAGAGATGTTCCTTGTGACTGTGTGCTGGACAGCTACCAACTCCACTGATTTCCTAATGTCTTTGAGACTTTAACATGCCCATAACACACGATTTCTGTGTTAAAGATTATTTTTTTATTGTAATATTCCAATTATTAGAGAAACTGAATTTTGGGTTTTATTCACTATAACTAAAATCATCAAAATTAAAAGAACATTGTGTGTAATGAATCTAAATGCAATGAGTGAATTTTTGAACACATTCGCTCCACTTAGCTGTGTGTGCAAGTTATTGGTGGTTTTGCTGCTGTCATTTCGCACTGCATGTTTACTCTGTTCTGTGTGCTGCACTTCAGTGGTGTTGGTTATTTCCACTATTGGATCAAAGTGCAGAGATTAAAATCCTTTGACTTTGTTGCAGGGTCTTGTCCCAGCCGGGATCCGCCTGGTTCCCCATACAGTTCTCACCTTTGTTTTCCTGGAGCAACTCAAGAAGTACTTCGGCATTCGCATCATCTCCTGATCCGCTCCTTGGCTCCGTCACTGCCAATCATGTCCTCCTTCCTCATCCTGCTCCTCATTATTCACAAGTAAAGAAGGGAAAGGGGGACCTGAACAGTTCGTCCTGGTGCTTTTCCCTCTCCTTTTTTTCCCTCTACCTCCATCCCACAAGTGGATTTACGCGACTTGCATCGAAAACCAACAGTTCTGGTCATTCTTTTGCTCTTTTACATCAGAAATGGGGGGGAAAAACAGATTCAAAGCTGCTGGATTGAGGTTAATAACATCAATAGAATATTAATCAAGTGTCAGAGATTACTGTTATTGTTTAATCATGATGTAGTTTTGGAAACTGAGTTCAGATCGTACGTGTTTAACATTACACGTTGGTTGCAGGCAAAATTTTAACCTCGGCTGATTCCATATCATGTGCTGTTTATTAATCTGACCTAAAATCTAATCTATTAGTTGTGATAATTTCAGAAGTGACACAAAGTGAGGAATAACTGCAAACTGCAGCTTAGTTTACAGTTCTCTAAAGCAATTTTGATTTTATCAAGAGAGCACAACATCATCCAGAAGTTGTAAACAAATGCAGCGCAGCTTTATCAGTTCCCATCTGACCAATCAATAATGGATTTACAAAGTCATAAATCTAAGACGCCTGTTTATTTTCACTCGGTAATCAGTGAGCAAACAGCGGGGTTGATAAATTGAGTTCAACATAAAATATTTGTTTTGTTTTTGTTTCCACCTTAATATTTTTTAACAAAATCAAAACACTGACTGATTAAAATGTGATTAATTTCTTTCCGTTGCTTCCTTAATTCATTCCACTGTCGCATTTCACATCACGTCTAAAAACGGAGAGGACCAAGTTTGTTTGGATCACTTTTTACACAACGAGTTAAAAGAAAACTGAGGTTTTCTCCACACATAGCTGGGTCTTTTTTTTTTTTTAAAACAAATATCTTCACCACATTGTTTAAAAAAAATAATACTGTGCACATGGGATCGGTTTTAGAAAAAGTTTTCAGCCACATCAACTTGCACAAAGCTGCTCCTGGCTGTTGTTTTTTTTAAACATGCCAGACCCATAGGGGGCAGTGTAGCACAAAGCTAAAACCTGTGTCAGCCAATCGGATTGAAATGTTTAAACGCATTTCAATTTCCTGGCGCCATGTTTAATTCCCATGGCACCAGGAAATTGAAATTTATGAAGTTAAAAAAAACATAGGTCAATGTCAATTGGGAATAATGTCAAACAAATTATACTATGTGGATTTATTGTTGCATTATTTGTCCTCTTTGGTCGGAGTTTATAAATAATTGTTTTTAGTGATATTAAACTGAGTTTTCCTGTGGATGAAAGACCAAAAGGCTTTTTTTTTTTCACCCCAGATATCTGGCTACATGTGTACTAGGCCTGAAATACATAAAGACATCTGATAATACATAAAAATTATTCTGTCTCCAAGATCCTAACAACATTCTATATCTACTCTAAGGATACGGTTTAAAAAGGCAGTATTGTGTAAAATCTCCATTTTTCAGCATTTCATTATGTTATAATATTCACTGGTCAAAAACATACCTGGAGTGCTGCCTTGATTCTTACATGTATGATCGAGAAATCTTTGAATCTCCCACGGCAACCATTTCAGGGTGGTTGCCTTTTACACGCAGCTCCCCTCTGCAGCTGCAGTTTCCAGTCGGGCTTCTGCCTCACAGAGCCATCCACCTCCTTGACTCTCTCAATCAGCTCCTTCAGACTAGCCAGCAGCAATTAGCAAACACTTGGAGGAACTACGCCGCATCTGCTGAGCTCATTATACAAACTGCTTTTCAGGGCAATGCTCCTATGAACAATGTTAAAGGCTTAATAGAGGAACACTGATGTGATGACTTGCTGAAGGCGGAGTGTTGGAAAGAGCAGGAACTTCTTAAAGGGACAAAGCCCAATTCCAATGTGTTAGATTGCAAAGTCGAATTAAGTGATTCTCGATATAGATGGAGCATTTTTATAACAACTAAAGGTAACATGATTACTTGATTGTGCTATAAAATGGTACTATGTGCCTGTAAAATGCATAATGCTGCCTCTTTAAACAACAGCTCTTTTTCAGTCTGCAATATTGGTTTTAAAACGCGCTTTATTTAAAACTTGATACAACACTGACTGACCTGCTTTTAACAAAGGGACGACATTTAAGATTCAAAATATTCAAACTGAAATTGTGGATGAATCCAGTTTCAAATGTTTTTCTGTTTCTTTCACTCATAAGATGTAAAGAATATCTTCCCTCTGCAAGCCGTGCCTGCTCGAGTCTTGCTGCCTTATAGTATCTGTCCTGTAGGGGGCAGTGCTGTTACATGTGAATTGTCCTGTTTTATGCACCCGAGAGGTTTTCTATCTTCATCTCAGGATGAAACCTGTGGCATCTACTGTATTTACATTCACTGAAGTGGAACTGTTGGGACAGTTATGAGTCAGTAAGTTTCAATATTGTCGATCTTTCACTAATACATTTGAGAATTAAAGGACTAATTGAAACTGTGTCTTCAGATTTTTACTGTAGTTTTTTTTTTGGGGGGGAGGGGGTTTTATTTGAGGAGTGTTTCTAAATCAAGCCAGTGTTTCTTTATCTAAATAAATCTAATAAGTTAATAAGTCAGCTGATGATCCTTCTGGGGTGGTAAGTGATTCATTTGAAGAGTTTCAGCTTCTCACTGCTACAAGGTCGCGCAGCACAGCTGGCTGCGGTGGTGAATCAGCCTTCACCTTCAGGGTTCTGGTCTCAGCAGAGCAAGGGCGCGATTTAATGTCCACACATCTACCGTCTTGATCTCAGGCCTTCCTTCCCAGACTCGTGGCCTCTCCGTGGGCATGAGGCAGTTAATTGGTGACATTCATGAGCAATGATTAATGAAATCCGGGGGGGATTCTGCTCTTTGGCCAAGATGAACATAAGCACCCCATATGTTATGATTGTAATACATCATTATTAGTGACTGTGACCTTTCACCTCCATCATCTTCTGTCACATCTGTGACTGAATGTGGCAATGGAGGAGAAGCTACCTACCATTACAGGAGAACTGTTCACCCTCCGTCATTGGTGGCCATGCTAACTAGCTTTAGCATTCACTTCAGACTGTGCTGTAGTGAAGCAGAGAGCAAGGCGGTTGTGAGCAGCGCATTTACAAGCTTGATTTTTTTTTCACACATTTTCTGTATTATTTTGTCACAAGATGGTGACAGTTCTAACATATTTCTAACAAACATATATATATATATATATATATATATATACATACACGTGTGTGTGTGTGTATGAAGAGCATAGTGAAACATTATATATAAATATATAAACATGTTATATATTGCAGCTTTAATGTTTCCCACAAATTAAGTCAGGTATGTTTGCAGATTTACTTATTTACGGCACACAAATTTCAACATTGCAGTTGTTAATGAAATACAGTTAGATTTTTTTTTTCTAAATTGATACTTTTATATTTTATTATATTTAAATGCATGTCTGAGATACACTTTGGTTAGAGTAAAACAAATCATGTCCGATCTAAATCTGCCAGTTGTGAGAAAAATTTAAGGCTGAACTTTTATTTCCTGACTTATCGATGTCAATACTCATCTGCATCAATTGAAAAACATGTTCTCTTGTATTTCCAGTTTTGAAGATTACTTAATAAAAAATTCTTAGATACAGATCAACTTAAAAATGTAATATTTCTTTAAAAGTGTCTTTCATTTGTTTTTGGTAAAAAAAAAAACAGTTTATTTTTCTTTAAGAATAAAACAGTATATAAAGAGCATAGTGAAACAATGTTTGCATTAAAGCTCCAGTGAAAGACTCAGCTACCTCAGTAAAGATGAACTCATTTTTTTCCCCTTCGTTTTTATCCGTCTTTACCAGTGGCAGCAATAATGGTGGATGTATTATTTTGTTCTCCTTTATATGCTTCCTTTCCTTTTATTTTTCTGGCAACTGACATGCAGTTTAACATTTCAATATGTTTTGCTCATCTCTATTGATTATCTTCTAAGCTTTGGATCTAATATAACAATAAACTAAATACAAAACTCCAAACTCGATCACACGAACTCAGACAGGCGCGCCACGTTTCGTCCAACAGAGATGTCGTTTACGGATAAATGCATTTCATTCAAAGCCTGAAGGAAAAGCCCGCGAATACAATATTTCATCATGTCACAAATACGTTTGCTTATTGAGAGAAGTGGATTAAAAGTGCGAATTATTGTAGCTGAGCTATATGTTGTATCACTTTAACATTAAATCAAACATTTTATCTTTGCTACGACTTTTGCTGACGTCTGTTCTTATGAATCTCCTTAGCGTGTCATCCGTCACCTTGGGAAGAGGAGAAACCTCAGGGAGAAAACTGGAGCAGTGGGTGGATTTCAGAATAAACATTGTTGCCCGTAGGAAAACATCAACACGCTGGATCGAGCCTCAACTCTGGGTGTGAGTCAAATATGAAACTGAAACCTGGTGAGAACATTTACACAGATAATGTTGCAAAGGAAGCTATTTTTGTGCGTTCGTGATTTTCTGCAGATGTCGGGCTCCCCATCGATACAGGATAACATTCTACGCAATCTTACTTTGTTGCTTTGGTACAGAAAATACCATTAACCAAAATCAAAATGAAATTTTATGCCAATCTGTTGGGTAATATTTCTGAAGGTTTTGCCGTAGGAAAAGTTGATTGCTTCATGACATATGAATTTATGAAGCAAATGTTTATTAATCAGCTGAACATCCCTGCTGCGTTCTGTACATTTGTTTCTTTCATGACAAGTCCCACAGGTTTATGAATTTGACACGCCGCCCTGGTCCACAAATCATTTTCACATGTCTTTTCAGGCACAAAACATTTGTGTCTGTGGGCAAAGAATCTGTGCTGTAAATCATTTCAAAATATGTTTCTCTGTGACTTTGGCATTTGTAGAGTAATATGTAGTCTGCCTTTCACTGACCTGCACGTCTGTGCAACACTGGCACCATTTGTTCTTCTTACTGGTGGGGAAGCTCTGCTAATGGTTGCTATTAATCTTTTGCTAAAAAAAAAACAAACAAAAAAACTGATTATAACCCCATGATTTTTGAAGTAGTGGGGAAAAAAAGACATTGCTGTTCTATGTTCCCGGAAGTAGCTAGCTGTGCTACTTCCGGGAAACAAACAAGTAGAGATATGTTGGACTCTGTTTCTGTGCAATATATTTTGCTCCTGATTTATGTTTTTCCAGGAAATGTTCAGTGGACGGGCTGCTGTGCTCTCATCGGTCCGCTGTTTGACATGTCGATGTGCCATCACACACTCCAACAGAGCTAAAATGAAACACAGTTTTTGCTAATATTTAGTATGCTGGAAGAGAAAACTTATTTTATTTTAGATGTTGAAATACATAGTCAGGAGTAACTCTCTACAGAGGTGCATGAAAGCAGGAACAATTGCAGAAAGAGCAAAACATGAAAAAAAAATCAAATAGCAAAAGCGAGACTGGGGAGATGAAGGATAATTCATGTCTGAAAATGTGCTGTGGCAAAACCCAACTTTCTAAAATATTCATAATAAAAATTATCACCTGGGATTGTGTGATTGAGCTAAAGAAGCCAAGCAGCGGGCGCTCAGAGGTGACACTGAACCTTTTTACAGCTACAACTTTCATTTTCACTTACAAAGGATGATGGGAGCAAAAAGAAAACAAAGTGATCAGATTTTTACTTCTTTAAGTCGGGAATTATCCAAATGCGTATTGGAAAATTCACAGAGTAATGAGAGTAGCTGTAAAATTCGTTGGCAAGTAGGTCATTGTGAAGGCAACATCCTTTGTTTTGTTCGGTTTAACGATGCAGAAGGTAATTTTTTTTTTTACACATATTTAATTAAACTGTTACTATGCCCTGACAGTATGATATTAGACAGAAAAGAAAAACAGAAAAACAATACAAAATAATAAAAAAGAAACATTCTCTCATTTTATTGTGCCAGGACAGAGTAAGAATTTTAACAAATACACAAAAACATATTTTTAATAAAAGTTACCTACTTCAACTTTACTATTTTAGGAACCTTGTCAGAAATATTTCTTGCATCATTTTACTTTAATTTCACAATTGCACACTACTTTGTGATGGTCTGTTAAAACACTGAGGTTTGCAGTTGTTGGGTAGCAAAACGTAAACAACTTCAGGCGGTTTGAATACGTTCGTAAAACATATTCGAGGCTCTGCAGACAGATAAACCAGCTCATTCTTTGCTTTTTGCAGTAAATTGGTAGACCGATGTCTCCAACCTTAGCAGCCTATCAAATTATCTCCTTTCAATGTCTGAATCTGTTTTTTGAAGATGATCTTTATCTCATACTTGCTCTGCTGGAATATTGGCAAACAAAAACAACAAATGGAGGTCACAGCGCCTACAATGGCTGCTGGAGAATGTCAAAACATTCATTGTGGCAATGTCACTGGAAAATTTAACGTCGCAGTGACATTGTGCAAAGAATCCCTTTTAGTCGTCTTCCAATTAGAAAACTGCCTCAAACACAATAAAACCAACATGATGTTCTAAAGTGTCATGAAGGAAATACAGGAAATGGAAACGTGTTGACAAAACTCAACCTTGAAGTAATGAATGTCTTAGAAGCAGGACGTCTTTAATCCTGCTCGACGACAACCTTGAGAGTAAAACGGCGAATTTTAAATAGGGACAATGAGGATCTTTTTGGTTTGTTAAAGAAAATATTATAATAATTTTAATCACTGTGGCTTCACGACTCATACAGTATTTTCATGAATAAAACTACTTTTTTTGTTTTTTGCACAACCCTTACACCCATTTTTTCTATCAGTCTTATGAAAAGAACTGTAGCAGCCTGTGAAAGGGATAGTTGCAACCACTGGATTCTTCTCATGAAATTTTCCTCGTGCCCTGGTTGGGCTTAGATTTTATTTCTTTTATATGACAAACTTCTTACACCTCAACCTCGATAGCTGCATTTTTAATCTAATTTTTAAATCTTCCATGTCTTTTTTTTTTTTATTTATCTTCCCTGCTAAAAAAAAAAAAAAAAAAAAAAAAAAAAAAAAAAATTTAAGCAAGGGAAGATGTTTGATTACCCCCCCCCCCTCCCTTTG